CTTACGTTTTATTAAACTGTTCCATAGTTGTATGACCGTTATGAGGGTGGAATTCCTACCTCAATAAATAATTTTAAGTTTTACTTATCACCACCCAGTGGTCTTATTGTTATTGTTGTCATTCTTTATTAAAGTATAGTTGCAGGAGATGAATTGAAGTTTAGGTGTGAACTTTAATGGATAACGATTTTTTATGGGAAATAAAAGCATGTCTTTCTGTCCCAGTCAGTAAACACCTAAACGATTTTTTGTGGGAAATAAAAGCATGTATTCCTGTCCCAGTCAGTAAATACCTAAACGATGTTTTGTGGGAAATAAAAGCATATATTCCTGTCCCAGTCACTAAACACCTAAACGATGTTTTGTGGGAAATAAAAGCATGTATTCCTGTCCCAGTCAGTAAATACCTAAACGTTTTTTGTGGGAAATAAAAGAATGTATTCTGTGGAGAGAGTGCTGGTAACTTGCTGTCTTCCCTCTAGTCTATCAATTCACTGATAAGTTAGATTAGCCCAAGAAATGTGGAGAGAGTGCTGGTAAGTTGCTGTCTTTCCTCTAGTCTATCAATTCACTGATAAGTAGGATTAGCCAAAGAAGTGTGGAGGGAGTGCTGGTAAGTTGCTGTCTTCCCTCTTGTCTATCAATTCACTGATAGGTTAGAGTAGCCCAAAAAGTGTGGAGAGAGTGCTGGTAACTTGCTGTCTTTCCTCTAGTCTATCAATTCACTGATAAGTAGGATTAGCCAAAGAAGTGTGGAGGGAGTGCTGGTAACTTGTTGTCTTCCCTCTAGTCTATCAATTCACTGATAGGTTAGAGTAGCCCAAGAAGTGTGGAGAGAGTGCTGGTAACTTGCTGTCTTCCCTCTAGTCTATCAATTCACTGATAAGTTAGAGTAGCCCAAGAAGTGTGGAGAGAGTGCTGGTAAATTGCTGTCTTCCCTCTAGTCTATCAATTTAAATTTATGGACGCAGACAGCCTTTGTGCAGCTGTTGTTGGTGTTGTTGTTGTTTTAGTGCCTAGCTACACAATGGTTTATCTGTTCTCTGTCCACCGCTGGGAATCGAACACCGGATTTTAGTGTTATAATTCCGTAAATTTACCGCTAACCAACCGAACATCCGAAACAAACCAAACTTTTCGAAATTATTTTGGTCAAACGGTTGGGCTGGTAACAATAAAAAATCGTTTATGTATTTACTGACTGGGACAGGAATACTTGTTTTTATTTCCCACAAAAAAATCGTTTAGGTATTTACTTACTGGGACAGGAATACGTGCTTTTATTTCCAATAAAAAATCGTTTCGGTATTTACTGACTGGGACAGGAATACATGCTTTTATTTCCAATAAAAAAATCGTTTAGGTATTTATTGAATAGGACAGGAATACATGCTTTTATTTCCCATAACAAATCGTTTAGGTATTTACTGACTGGGACAATTTCTTGGGCTAATCTAACTTATCAGTAAATTGATAGACTAGAGGGAAGACAGCAAGTTATCAGCACTCTCTCCACACTTCTTGGGCTACTCTAACCTATCAGTGAATTGATAGACAAGAGGGAAGACAGCAACTTACCAGCACTCCCTCCACACTTCTTTGGCTAATCCTACTTATCAGTGAATTGTTCCCATAATATAAGAGGTTGAGTCCATTCATCTTACGTTTTATTACACTGTTCCCATAATATAAGAGGCTGAGTCCATTCATCTTACGTTTTATTACACTGTTCCCATAATATAAGAGGCTGAGTCCATTCATCTTACGTTTTATTAAACTGTTCCATAGTTGTATGACCGTTATGAGGGTGGAATTCCAACCTCAATAAATAATTTTAAGTTTTACTTATCACCACCCAGTGGTCTTATTGTTATTGTTGTCATTCTTTATTAAAGTATAGTTGCAGGAGATGAATTGAAGTTTAGGTGTGAACCTTAATGGATAACGATTTTTTATGGGAAATAAAAGCATGTATTCCTGTCCCAGTCAGTAAATACCTATACGTTATTTTGTGGGAAATAAAAGCATGTATTCCTATCCCAGTCAGTAAATACCTGAACGATTTTTTAGGGGAAATAAAAGCATGTATTCCTGTCCCAGTCAGTAAATACCTATACGTTATTTTGTGGGAAATAAAAGCATGTATTCCTATCCCAGTCAGTAAATACCTGAACGATTTTTTAGGGGAAATAAAAGCATGTATTCCTGTCCCAGTCAGTAAATACCTATACGTTATTTTGTGGGAAATAAAAGCATGTATTCCTATCCCAGTCAGTAAATACCTGAACGATTTTTTAGGGGAAATA